AAAGCACTAGATTGTATAAGTGCTAGGAATTATTGTTATTAAGTATGTATGTATCATCTTTAATGTACAATTTATGATTAAAACTCTACTATCTACACAATATACATAGACATAAAATAGTAAAAACTTAAATATCTTAGAAACAGTAGCCAATCAGTTGTTTTAATTGTCATATTTGAATTCAGCACATCAAAATACATAATAAATAGCACATTTTATCTCTGAAGCAGACGACGTCTCAAAAATTATAGACCAGTGTAATCTATCCTACCAAGAAAGATTTCCTTCTTGGTCTGACAAAATGGAAATCTTCAAAGACAGTGATTTCCTTTCATGCAACAATTATGAAGGAAAGAAATTAGACTTTTTCCATGGTCTGAATGGAAAAGAATTAGCTACATCACTCAGGTTTCAGAGTGGTAGCTGTTAGTCTGTATCAGCAAAAACAAGGAGTCCTTGTGGCACCTTAGAGACTAACAAATTTATTTGGGCATAAGCTTTCATGGGCTAAAACCAGCTTTACTGGCATCTGAGTTATGTAAATAACAGATGGGCTGTACCTAAATCCCAGATCTGTAGAAAAATTTGGATCTGGATATGAATGTGAACTTAACAACATGAGAGACCAGTACCCTAGATCTTTACATTTCTGAGTTTTTGAAAAGTTTGGATCCATCTCTGGTTGAGAGAAAAGCCAACAAATAGCCAGTAAAATCACAGTGCAGAGTGAACCTCTGTTCTGAACTCAGCCCATTGTGCCATGGTATTCCAGCATGATGCACTGATTTGTTAATGTTAGAATAACAAATGGCACAACCACCTTGTGTGCCAAGTGTCAGTTTGGAATGAACTTTTATTGTCAGATTATACACAATGAAAATAAGGGGGATTATAATGGGAACCTAGTTCCAGTCTTCATTATAGCAGCACAGTGGTTGCCACTAAAGTAAATGAAAACATGACAGGCAGGAGGAGAAAAAAATGTTTCATTATTCATGGATGTCAAATAGAGATGGGATTCTCTTGTTTCCCTTTGGCAAGAGACTAATTAAATCTTATCCTGTGGCTCCTTAACTTGGAAATGTGCTCCTGGGATTCACAAATCAGTTTCTTCATTTCCCCCTTGCCCCCCCCCCCTCCTTTTTTTTAGCTTGTAGGTTGAGTTTTTATTTACAATGTGGAATTGCTGAAACAGTTATACAGGAGCCAAAGCCTCAACTTCTTCAGAGATCCTACCACAGGATACATTGGTAGCTGGAGCCGTAAATCTATTCTTCATCATCAGGAGGGATCCCCAATTCCTCATCTGTCCATTTTGAAGCATCTGGGTAAGGAAAGTGACCCAGTACTGCGTCCGGGTTGTGCCAGAAGTGCCACAGGATCCAGAACCACATGAAGCCACTGAGGAGTTCACCGTGGATCACCTGCTGGCGGGTCAGCCCCAGGAACTGCCGGTAGTGGGGCTCGATGTGCACCCCGCCCCCCGCGGTCTCTGGCACAGAGAATCTGGACCAGACCGCCCCTGGTGCGGCCCAGAGACCCGAACATGACACCGCCACCACCGGATAAGCCACCCGCCCATTCCCCAATGTCACCTTAGTGGATGCAAGCCAGTGCCTACTATCTATAATTTCTTCCTTACATGAACTCTTTTTATATCTGAGTAATATTACAGTGGTGCCACTCACTCAGCTAAGGCACTGTCAGCATTTTAAAAAGATGTCACTTGAAATATTCAGGGGTTTTACTTCAGCCATAAAATGTCCTTGGAAGTAGTAACAACATTTAACCTTTACCAGCATTCGTGTATGTGCATTTCTACGTTACTTGTCACCAAGGACCTGTGGGTATGTCTACATTGCAATGTAAGACCAGAGCTAGTAGAATTTGAGTTTGCAGACCCTGGATTTGTTAACCTAGTGCTTGAGCATCTATGCTCATTTGTAGTTCTAGATTAGGAATTGTTGAACCCTGGGTCCCAGCCTTTGCTCCAGCATCTACACTGTATTATGGGGGCTTGAATCCAATCACCCATATTAGGCTTCCTAGCTCCCTCCCAAAATATGGCTGTTTTAGCCCTTTGTTTGTGGTGCAGTGTAGGAACACTTGACTGTCCAGAGGACAAAGGAAGTCAGACTGTGGAATTGTGGAATACTTTTGATGGACTCCCAGAGCATGAGTCCAGTGGGGCAGCATCTATACTGCAAAGCAATAGGACTTGAACTTTGGGTCCCAGTTTGACTCAGGCTCAGACCCCCCACCCCCATGGGATCCTGGGTCTGAGCTCTGGGTTAGTGGCATTTGTGTGTAGATGAAGGGGTGTTAGGCTTGAGCCTGAGTTCGAAAGCTGGGTTTATATTGCAGTGTAGATAGGGTTACCATATTCAAACATTTAAAAAAGAGGACACTCCACGGGGCCCCGCCCCCGGCCCTGCCCCAACTCCGCCCCTTCCCCAATCCCCGACCCCGCCCCAACCCCACCCCTCCTCCG